TGTGGGGGGGACGGGTGGTGCGGGAGGGGGGTGGTTGCGCCGCAAAGAGGGCGAAGGAGGGTAAGGGGTGGGTTGCACAGAAGGGTGGGGGCGTTGCGCTGGGCGGTTTATGTGCCATGCAACTTTGTGTATCGCCGCCGCTGCTTTTATTACTTGTCATCATTCAATAATATTACTGTTCACACAGTACAGTTTACACCGGTTTTACATCCAGCAACAGCGACCCACCGCCCTCTGCCTGCCCGCCCGGAACACCATAAAGCCTACAGAAATAAAAGTATCGACCTGATGCACCCGGTTAATGCAATTATTTCTCTCATTTTCTATTTTCTACCTCACGGCTCTCCTTCGGCTCAATCCTGCTCTCCTCCCTAGATCCCCTCTTCCATGTCCCTTATGAGGAAAAAAGACCCATGTTGGTTCTGAAGCGACATCATGAGAAAATACGATACTTAGATTCTCCCTGGAGCGACAGAACTCATCATTTATTGCAGTCAAATTGCATTTCTTATTAATGAAAACCAACGAACATGTTCTATTGAAGGGTGACGTCTTGCACATTAGATAGCCTTCCTATGCGTTAGAACAAACAAGTAAATAAAAAATTAGTGCAAATGAACCCGCAAGCATCTGAATCTGGCGCGTCCGCTTTACACAGTTGCCTGCTGGTTGGTTTTCCTCTTCCTTCCCCCTCCCTTCGCCCTCTTGTTCTGCTGGCGAGAGTCCTTTGTTTTTCACTTTCCTGTCTGAAATACAACCAAAGCTGCTGAGGAAAGTTTAATTGCTCTTTGCTGCCGTCTCAAGTTGCAATCATGGCTACGAAATTAGGAACTAAAGCGTTTTCGCTACTTAAATATTCTTCACCACAAAATGTCACGCGCATGGTAAGTAACGTGTGCCCCGTTCTATTGCAAGTTTTCAGCCCAGTGTCCACCACCTTCCTACTATAATTCACGAAAAAGTATAATTTTTAGTGATTTAAAGAAACCAATCAGCAATAGAATTGCTTGTTTTTTGTACCTAGATGTGGTTTTTGCCTCATCATCAGCTGGCACTCTTTGACTCATAGGATTAAAATAGGTGGTGTACACCCTCTATAGGTTAACAGAGCAGTGATGGTACTGAAAATGACCACTCTGATAAGTACCCCATTTATTTCATGGAAAAATCAACATTCCTTTTCGAACACAACTCTAACTTGTTACATAAAGTGCCATCATGATTGACTTCAGTAAATGGAACAGAAATTTTAAACGTTTCATTGGTAACTTGTCATTTGCTCACCCGCAGTTTTATTTTAACTTGTTTCAACAGCTCTCTCAGGCTGCCCCTGCACCATTTGACATTCAGCACTCCAATCCATTCGCAAAGAAAGTGGCAAGTATTAATGTGTTAAACTGAAATCATGGTTTAGCTTCACCCTCTATTTCAATGTTCAATATTATCTAATTTATTATCAATTCTCTTTCTTATTTTAGGATGCTGTTCCAGTTGCCAAATATGGTGGACGCCACACAATTACCATGCTACCTGGTGGTGGTATTGGCCCTGAGATGATGACATACGTTCGTGAAGTGTTTAGGTTTGTTCCCGCTCAGTTTCATTTGCTTTCTTTGTCATTTTCTCTGCCATTTTTTGGAGCAATTATCTCATTTGCTGAAACTTTTTTCCTTTTACACACAGGTATGCTGGTGTACCTGTTGACTTTGAAGTGATTCAGATTGATCAAAAGAGTGAAAGTGATGAAGACCTTGAATATGCCATTACCTCAATTCGTAGGAATGGTGTTGGTATCAAAGGTACTTAAATTTTTTGCCTGTTTCTCTCACCCTTTGAGTCAAGTTTGCATTTTGTTGCACATTTTCTTTTTTCCAGGAAACATTGAGACAGGCAGTGCTAGACCAGGTGTAATGTCCAGAAATGTTGGACTTCGTAATGAATTGGATTTATTTGTCAATGTTCTACATGCAAAATCCCACCCTGGAATCAACTCCAGACACAGAGACATTGATGTTTTCATTGTCAGACAAAATACTGAGGGTGAATATGCTATGCTTGAGCATGAGGTAAGCACAGCAGTATACAGTACCTTCTATTAAATACATTTTCTGTCATTCAAGGCACTATTTGATTCATGTATCCTATCTTTAGAGTGTACCTGGAGTTGTTGAAAGCATGAAGGTCATCACTGATGAGAATTCTGCACGTGTTGCACGTTATGCTTTTGAGTTTGCCCGCAAGAATGGCCGTAAGAAGGTCACCACTGTACACAAAGCTAATATCATGTATGTATAATTCATCAAGATCTATTGATTGTGTGTAATCAAAATGTCTCTTAGTAATTATTCTTGTTGACTTGTAGGAAGCTGTCTGATGGGCTCTTCCTTGAAGTATCGAAGCAAATGTCAAAGGAATACCCTGAAATTCAGCATAGTGACATGATTATTGATAACACATGTATGCAACTTGTATCAAATCCGCATCAGTTTGATGTGATAAACACAACAAATTTGTATGGATCAATTGTTTCCAATGTTGTCTGTGGTCTTATTGGTGGTGCTGGCCTGTTTTCAGGAAGGAACTATGGTGACCATGTAAGCTTATTTTAAATGCCCTTGGTCAGATCTTTTGTTTTTCAGTTTTGTGTGCTGTTAATGATGTTTACCTTAATTTTTCAGTATGCTGTATTTGAACCTGGTACTCGTAACACAGGAACTGCCATTGCTGGAAAGAACATTGCAAATCCTATTGCAATGCTCCAAGCAAGTGTAGACATGCTGCATCATCTGGGTCACACCCAACATGCCAAGATGATTGATGATGCAATTTACAAAACAGTCAATGAAGATCGTATCCATACTCCTGGTAAGTTAGGTTTTTATGTTACCAGCCTCATAGACAAGCATGCATGACATGCATTAATGACACATTTCAATTTTAATAATTTACAATCTATTTCAGACTTGGGCGGCCAGGCTACCAGCATTGACGTAGTCCAGAACATCATTAAGTACCTGCAGCAGTCAACCAGGAAAATTAACTGGTAATTTCTACGCCCTTGACATTTGAATGCATGTCATTATATCTGAAACCTTCTTTTAGCAGCTAAGAGAAACATTTCAAAAACCTTAAAGCAAGAATCTTTTTGGATGGGTGATTTTATACATATATGGAGTTGTTTTCATATTAGTTAAGACTAGTTTGAAGCATGTTGTTCTTGACGGCTAGAAACCTGGTGATTTTATTCTCTGTGTATCTGTCTTGCCTCAAAAACTTCTCTAGAACAGACATTGTCTTTTCTGGGCTAACTTTGGGCATCTGGTTCTCATTCTTTTGGACTCTTGTTTTATCTATCTTTTGACTCACTTTCACAAAAATTCTGTTTATGTAGTTACAAAAGCTGGCTATTTATTTTTGCAGTTCTAAATGTAGTTGTGAGTTTATTGTTTTCTAGTGTAGCTGTTTGATTGTAGAGAAGAAGTTAGTAGTTTTCTTTGGACTTGGCTATCTTTATCCGATTTGTTCTTAATGTGGAAATCTTGTTACTCAGTCTAATAATTTAATTTGGTCTGTATTTTACTTTTAAATGTTGCCAATGAGTCATCAGGCTCTACTTTGCCACTATTTTTCATACGTCTATTAAAGTCAAAAGTTTAAGTTTCAAGCTTTCCACACTAACTTGACATTATTGTTATTTGTTGTATTTTCCTTCTTTTTTTTTACAGATTCACTTCTTTCTAGCCTTTTCTTAGCAGCCTCGTTTGTATCAACCACCCATGAAGTTATATAAGTTGCATTCACCTCAATGTTCTGATAGAACTCTGTCCTATGTTGCCATACATTTGTTTTTATTAAACTAGTCAGTCTTTTTAAATCTCAGTATTAGTTCCACGAAAGGCAAGTGGGGAGGGGTCTACTTTTGTAACACAGGCTATGAAGTGTCCTTGTGTTGAGTCTTAATTATTTATCAGCTTCAATGTTCCTATTTTCTTTTGCTCTAATAAAAAGGTTGTGTATTCTTACAACCTCTTTGTTTATCATATCTTTATATTACAATTGAAAGTTGAGATTTTCTTTTTTTGCTTTATTTACTGTGTGGTCTGGGTTTTTAATTTTTTGCACCTAGTTCCTTTACCTATCTTCTCAATACACGCATATGTAGTTTAATTAAAAGTTTGCAGGTAAGACCTCTGGTGACATTGCATGGTGTGGTCCTAAAAAATGTATGGTCTGCTACGGGCTGAGATTCCCATTAATTTCTTATCTACTTTACAGAAGCTTGGCTTTTTTGCTCATCTTTTACCTTGTGTGCTTTAGTCATTAAGTGTTTCCTATTGAGCAATAATCTGCTTTATAATTAATTTAATTTGGTGCAAGAAAAAAATGTGGGTTGTAATGGCAATACATTGCGTGCTGTGCATGAGGAAGCTGTGCAACATTAATATAATAATACGAGATTAAGCATTTCTGCTTGAAAAGTTTTTCTGTTCTATGACCAGACTTGACTGTGATATTACCCTTACAAAGGAATTCTCTTCATTCTGTGAAGTATGTGGGTCTTTTGGCCTATGAATTTAAGCCTGTAACATGGTACTGCCATAAGTGACTGATGGACATACCCTACATCCTAACCAATATTTATTTTAATTTTTGAAATTAAGTTGGCCTTTGAATTAGTTGACTCACTTATTCTTTTGTATCTAAATTAAAGTTCCCTGATGTTGAAAAGTTTATGTGTGTATGTGTATAACCATGTGCTTAACCCTGTAAGCTTTATTTGCTGTATTTGTTTTAATTAGACTATTTGATTTCATTCTCTTTTTACAGGCAAGATACCAGATCATCAACTTTCTACTGAGAGGTCTGCTGCATTCCCTCGAAGATTTTTTCCTAGCATTCCGGTTGTCCTAGTCGCCTTGAAGATAAGTTGAGATGTGTTGAGCACAAAGATATTGCTTTAAAAAATCTGAGGAGCTAGGTCTTAATTATATTGATTTTAAGACAACATTTTTGCTGCAATTAGTAGTCTTCTGAAGACTGTCAATTTTGTAGTTATTTTAATTGTACAGTATTTATTATTCAAGACTGTCAGTATTTAATTTTTGGAGTTTAGATACTTAGGAAAATTTTACTCCTTGTATCTCTAAAGAAGGATAGTTACAGTTATTCTTCATTAAATTAAGCCGTCTAAAGTTGGTTTTAGCAAAGCAGAAGTCATTCCTCGCATTCATATTATTAAGTAATTCTGTTGATCAGCTTATGTTTACCAAAATTTATTTTAGATTAAATATTACCTTTTAATCTAATCTACAGCTCTCATTGCTCAGAGAGACTCTGAAAAGAGTAATTTGTACATTGGTAACTCTTGTTTTAATTTTCCAAATAAAACTGATCAGATGACCTGGTGAATGACGATCTTTTTCTGTTTGACCCCAAGCCAGTACTATTGGCTTCTGCACTCGGTCACGATCAACTAGTTGGCCTTGATGTAGTTGTCGTTGTCCACGATTTTGTACACGTCTTCACGGTAGTTGACCAAATCCTCGAGGAAGCGCTGGCTGCTCTCGTTGTGTAGCCGCGTCAGCACGACGGGGAGCGGGTCGAGGTTCCCTAGCGCCGCGAGCTCCGAGTAGTAGTCTCCCTGGGAACACCACACGCGATACAGGGGTGCTAACTCCGAGGAGTCCTTCACTCAAAAAAATCAGTGTACACCCTTCGAAAAATTCGCGAAAAAAT